CAAACTAAACTGTGGAGGGACAGTGCAAGAAAGGAAGACTGTCGATGAAACAGACTGATTCAGTCAGTGACTGGGGTAATGCGAGTAGGTGTATCAGAGACAGTGAGATTGGCACAGGATAGAGCAAGGTTTAGGGCCCTCGTCACTATGAGTCACAGGTGACTCTACCGTACATGACCACCACCACCACCACCTACATTTAACCTGAATTCTTTCTTGCAGTTGATTCTTAACCCACCCCCCTGCATTTTGTTTATACCATCATTAAAAGGTATAGCACAATATATTATTTAAATGATTATATATTAATGTGTTATGTGCCACCGAGCCTCCTGCAACTCATAGCAATCTTATGTACGACAGCCCTAAATCCTGCTCTATCTGTGCCAATCTCACTGTCTCCGATACACCCCCATTACCTCAGTCACTGAATCAATCCACATCATAGAGGGTCTTCCTCTCCTGCCCTGTCCCTCCACCCTCCCAAGCAGAACCGCCTTCTCCTTGCAACATATCCAAAGTATGTCAGACGAAGCCCCAGAATCCTTGTCTCCAAGGAGCAGCCTGGTTTAACCCTCTAGGATGAACCTGTTTTTCTAGCAGTCCATGGCATATTCAATACTCTTCTCCAGCACCACAGCTCAAAGACATTAATTCTCCTTCTATCCTCCTAGTCCTGGTCTGGCTCTCTGATGCTTATCAAGTGACTGCAAAGACCATGGCCTGTATCAGGTGCACCTTAGTCTCTAAAGTGACACCATTGCTCTTCAGTACTTTGGAGTGGTCCCTAACAGCAGACCTTAATAATGATTATATATTAATATATATTAAAAATAATCATAATAATATACCATATACAATAATTAACAATAATATACACGCACAAAACAGGTACTAAAACTGTCTTAGAGCTCATCTGGAGGACCCCCTACCCGATCAGATCACACTTAGAAAAATGTTGTTGCTGGATGGGGTTCTCAGCCCTTGAACCTGAACTTCATGGGACTGCACTGAGAATTACAAGCATGTACCGTTTGGCAGGAGCATATTCTCAGGAAATGCAAGTTCTCCCTCCAAGAGGCAGCTGCACTGTGGCCAGAGCACGTGATGATACCGAATCTCAGGCCACAGAGAGGGCAGGTCTCAGGTGATCATCCTGGAAAGGGTCAATTCAAATCACACAGACCATGTCTTCACTGGGAGAGGGCAGCCATGTCCCCTCTCTAGGCCTCTTTTTCTCCTCTAGTAAATGAGATAATGGATCATTTAGTTAATAAATATTAGTGGTATAAATATTAGTGTATGGTGAACACAGGAGAAATAAAAAGAGCCCTCTGTACTTAGGAGCTTACATTTTGGATGGATAAAAAAAGAACATGTCCTAAGTGCTGTAATGAAAATAAAGCTGAATGACATGTTAAGAGTTGAAGTACACAAGAGCCATGTGCCTCTGGGGACCAATGCTCCACTCATGGGGTCATTTACTGGAGCTCTGCACCCAAAAGAGGCTGGAAATGTAGCCGCTTTAAACTAAGCTAGTCCCTAGGTGATACAAGCGGTTATCAGCCATTAACCAAAAGGCTGGTGGTTCTAGCCCGCCCGTGGTTTTGGTGGGATAAACCTGGCCATCTGCTTCTGTAAAGATTACAGCCAAGCCAAGCCTGAGGAAGTTCTGCTCTCCACACAAGGGTCACTGAATTAGAGGCAACAGGCACATGGTTCCTCTTTAAAGGTGTCTTGGAGGACCCTTATCCTCTCAATATTCCCTTGCTCCTGTGCAACTGGGAGCCCTTGTGGCACAAGGAGCTGCGGTAATCCAAAGGCAGTGCCGCGAACCCCCCAGTGGCTCCACAGGAAGGCTGGGAATTTCGTGAAAAGCCACAGCAGGCTCAGTTATGAGTTGATTCAGACTTGATGGCAATGACTGAGTTTTTAGTCTAGTGCAGCCACCAATAAGCTTAGAAGAAATGTTTGGGGTTTTAAAAAATTATTTTGTGTGTGTACCGTCAAATTGGATCTGACTGATACAGGAGGATTGTCCTTCCTTCTCCAGCAGAGAATCTGGTGGAATTGAACCACCCACCTCTGGGATTGCAGTGAAGCTTCTTGCTACTAGGACACCAGAGCTTGCCAGAAGGAATGTTCTTGATTGCTTCCAGTTCCACCCTCCTGCTCTGAGCCATAATCCCAGCCACATCTGTTGGCCAAAACTTGACCTCACTGGCCACATCCTACGCCTGCTGTGTAAATGCCTCAGGGTAGAAAGTGTATGGTAATTTCAGATAAGCAGACCAGAACTTGTTTTTTAACTGTAAATTGCAAGGGAAGAGATTGCAGGACTCTCGAGTAGCACCTGGTAGATTCAAACTGCTTTTCGGTTAGCAGCCTTATATACATACTTTTGCACCATCCCAGTTTAATTAGTTACAATACTGATTTGAGCCTGGAGTTTCAGTGTATATTCCTAAAGCATGCCCTGGGTTCCCTGTCTGGTGAGAGTCAATAGGATTATTTGGGATTATTCCAGTACTGGTGTGGTATTTTTTTTTTTTTAGAAAATGTATACTTTATTTGGTATTAACATATTCCAATACTTTTTCACTGAGAACTAGAAAGGGTGGAGAAAACACTTTTTAAAGGCATCAAAGAGCTACAAAGGCAGTGAGAAGTTTGGGGACTAAGCATGGGATAAAAAAGCCTAAATGATGAGCCCAGTATCTGGAATCCTTTCCTCTACCCAGGGGTGTCTGCTGAATCCAAAACAGAACACTGATAGGCTGTGGCAGCCTGGCATTTTTAAAACTGGCCACAACAAAATTTCTAGTCTTTCTTTCCAGAGCCTTGTTACATCAAGAGGTGGAGTCTATTTCCCCTTGAAATTGGGCAGGGTGGGTCTCTGTGAAGTCTCCGACAGAGGTAGATCTGGTGTGACAGATAAATCTAGGCCTGAAAAGGTGGCATAGCTTCCACCTGGCACCCAGCCACCATGTTGTGAGGTAGCCCAGGTTACATTCAAAGGCCATGCACAGATCCTTTGGCAGACAGCCCAGCTAAGTTCCCCGTCCACAACCAGTGTGAACTGGGATGTGCAGAACTATAGGAACCATGGCTTGGGGGGATTTTCGCGGTCACATCACCCTCGTCTTCCAGGTGATGCCCCAGGCATTGTGGCATAGACACAAACCATTCTTCTTGTAGCCTGTCCCCACAGACCCCTGATCTATATCATAAATGGTTGTTTGGTCATCTGATTTATATCCTCTGGGAAGATTTTGATAAAACAGACTCAAGTCAGAGGCTTGGGGAAGGGACATTCACCAGGCCAAGCCTCATTCTTTCTAAGCCTGGACAGCCCTAGGGGCACTAAAGAGGGAACAGTCTGAAGCCCCCTGTGCAGTCTGCCTTCTCTCTGGATCTGTTTCTGCCTTTGTGTTCCTTTCAGACTAAGAGGTTGGGTGACAAAAGGAGGAAGTGGTACTACCCTCTGGGTTGGGTGAGGGAGCCTAGGCATAAATCCACAGTACCAGGGAGTGCAGACAGAAGGCTAGAGGAAGGAGACCCCAGGGCCAGGAAGGTGCTCCCACTGACTGGGGTGGACCCTTTACTGTGGGCAGGAGATGCGGCTCAGGATATCAGGAGCTCTTTTGGCTGAGCTGAGACCTTCTTTCATTCTACTCCTGCCCAAAGACCACTAAGGAATTGCTCACTGCTACTGCTCAGTGGGTAGGACTGGTAGCGCAGTGGTCAAATGCTCAGCTGCTAACCCAAAAGGTCAGCGGTTCAAGCCCACCAGGTCCTCGGTGGACTCAAAATGTAGTAATCAGCTTCTGGAAAGATTACTGCCTTGCAAACCCTGTGGGATAGTCTACCATGCCTTTGTGGGGTTGGTTGGTCCGAGTGTGAATTAACTCCACAGAAACTGGCTTTGTTCAAGGGGGAGCCTGAGGGCAGTTTCCAGAGCTCTTCCCACTGCTCATGTGTCTTTTAATGGTCTTCCAAAATTGGGGGGCGAGGGAGATGCTGCCTCAAGCTCCTCTGCTCACCAAAGGCCAGATTACAGCCCCGGCGCCGGCATCTGCAATGCTCCTCCCTCACCACAGCGGCCAAGGAGCAGATCAGAGACTCCAACGTGTCCAGCCGTGGGGGTTGGCAGCCAGTGGGGGGCTCTGACTCTTACTGTAATCTAGTCTATCAGGTCCTCAATTTCCTCTTCTGTAAAATGGGTGCTACTACCTCAGGGACTGTAGTGGGGAGTAAACAGCAGTATCCAGTCTGGGTGTGTGTGTGAGTGCGTAATGCTTTTCCATGTGGTTCCGGATAATACTGTTGTTATGTACCATCATGTTGCATCCACCTGATAGCTGACCCTTCAGCAGGTTTTCAGAGGCTGTAACTCACACAGAAGACGGCTCATCCTTCCCCCTCAGAGCAGCTGGTGGATTCAAACCGCACACCTTCAGGTTGGCAGCACAGTTCTTTACCACTAGGTCACCAGAGCGTGGTATGTGTGTGTGTGTGTAATGTTTTCCAGCGTGGGTATGAGCGTGGGGTGTGTGT